AGTGGGGGGTGAGGGGAGCGGGGTGTGAGGGGAGCGGGGTGTGAGGGGAGCAGGGTGTTTCTCACCGGCTTCTCTCCTTCCCCTAGGAAAGAGACGTCGAGCATTGACACCGAGATCAAGCGCTTCATCGCCAAGAAGGCCGATCTGCTCTTCGCCCACGCCTGGAGGCCCAACGGGCCGTTCTGTGACACCATCGAGGAGAATGAGGGTGAGCAGGGGAACCCCCGCTGCTTGGGGGGTGTCCGGCCGGGACGGCCTCTGGGTGCCAGGGCACTTCACTGACATTAGCTGTGATTGTAAAAACTGGGTGAAAAACGTTGCCTTTGCTTTTTATAGACACTGCACAAGGTTCCTGTTAGTACAAATGAATCGGATTTTCACACGTGTTTTGCTGCCATGAAAGGTTTTGTGCTGTCAGGCTGTAGCTCGGTGGGTCTGTGACCGTGAGTGCCTCCTGTGTTGCAGAGTATTACGCTGTCATGCCTCCCCTGGAGCGGTTCTGTTCTTTCGGGACATCGAGCGCGGCGATATCGTGTTTGGGAGGATCACTTCTATCCGTGAATTTGGCTTCTTCATGGTGCTGATTTGTCTGGGAAGTGGCATCATACGGGAGATATCAGATTTAGAAATCAGTGTAAGATGCAGCTTTGATCAGTGCTTTGTACTGGATAAGCAGTGACCGTGTGATGTGTTAGTTGGCCCTTGCCTCTCTGGATGCAGCGGGCAAAGGTGAAGCTGAACTCGGGGGTGGTGGGTGGTATCTGAATTTGTGGACAGCTCATGGTGCTTTGTTGGACCAGCAAATGCTTCTTTTTATGACCCACAGTCAATGTTTATTACTTTTGAGTTGAATATTTCATCATTTCTGGTTATGTAAGTTTTTATTTTAACTAAGCCATTCTTTTGATGGCACAGCTCTGATGTGATCAACTAGTATGTTAAACTAATTAACTTCTGGTTTGATCACGGGGAGAAAAAAGCCCAGCTTTTTAGTTTTGTTTATGATGTTTCTACTTTCTTCTGTTGCAGGCTCTTTGTCCCTTGAGAGATGTTCCTCCTCAAAGCAACCATGGAGATCCTTTATCTTATTATCAAAATGGGGACCTTATTCGAGGCAAGTAGCTGCACAAGTTGTCAGGAATCTGTGTTTTGAGACATTTCTGTAACTTGACCCAAACTTTTATTGTTTCTGTAGCTGCAATCAAGGATGTTGATCGTTACCATGAGAAGCTCACAGTGTCACTTTACAGCTCAGCTCTTCCACCGAATTTTTCCAGTACAAAACTGGGTGTAGTTACTTCTGATGACCTCCCGCTACATTATAAGTAAGAACTGTGCTTGCTTGGCGTAGTTAGTGAGTCTGAAGGGCATCCTTGACAGACTGTTATTTAAACTTGTCAATAGTGTTTCTCATTAATTGGATGACTGCACACTTTCTGTGGTTTATTTCTTTAATGTACCTGTTTCTGAGTATGTCAGGTGTGCTTGGACTTCAGCATCTTTGCCAAAATGTAAGGAAAGCAGAAAGCAGAGTGAACTGTGTGTCACTGTGAGACTGCTTTAATAAAAATAAAAAAACTATTCAAACAAACAAAAAACCCACAAAGCAACAAAAAGTCCACCTGACAAAAACCTTGCGAGACTGGAAAATGAAATTCTTAAAATTTTAAATTGCTGTTAGGAGACAGAAGGACACAAGAGTTGTCTGCAATGTTTGTAATGTTTATGTGTGTCCTGGAGGTGCCTGGATGGGCTGCCAGAATAGGTCTCAAAAGCTCATTTAGGCTCAAGGATGCAAAGGTTGCCAAATAGAAAACACGCCTGTAAAAGAAAACAGCTTGTGAGCCGTAACATATATCAATATAGGCATTTTAATGTTAAACATAAACACCATAAGGTAGAGTCTAGTGTCTGTGAGGTTGTGTTTGTGTACGTTGCTGGTGTTTTTCAGGCGAAGTATGGAAGTTGCTAACACAGGAGAGACATTTGAGGAGGTTTTGCATCGTTCCCCGGGCTTCGCTAATCCATCCTTAGTTGAATATCTAGCAGAAAAACTAGGACTAAGTGAATCAAATCCACCGTCTTTGCTGAGAAGCCTTCAAATGTAAGTGATTTTTACATTGTCCCTATCCTGTAGCTTTGTGGAGATTATTCTAATCCATTGAAATAGACTTGTGAGTGGAAGTCCTAGACCACTTATACTTAAAGGTTTTTCATTTTGATTTGCATGACTGTAGCTTACATGTCCTTAAGTATTTGAAAGGAGACTTCTCTAGGGGAAGGAATTTACATTTGAAATTCTGTTGCTCTGAATAAGCAAGACACTTTCTTACACACAACGTTTCTTACCAGATAGTTCAGGAATTTATTGCATAGAAGTTGTCTACATCTTTGGACTGAAATGCAGGATGTTTTAAGTTTCAATGTTTTCTGTCTGGTGTTTATTCAGAGCATTTATTTTTGTAATAGATCTGATCTCTTCAGTAAAATAGACTCAGACATGCAATGATTGATGTTGTGAGCCCTGTATATATATTAGGCCCTAAAGCAGGTGTGAATATGGTGTATTTTTGTTACATGTACTGCAGCTGTACTAGTTCAGTTCAGCACTTTTAGAATGGGTTGGGAAAAACTGGTTTCAGAAACATGAAAGAACATTCATGACTGAGGAGGAGCAGTAAGGCATTGTATAAATAAGATTTCAGCTTATTTTAAGTCCATTATGTATTTTGTAGAGTCAGAAGGTCAGCTTGACAGTTTTGTTTTGGTTTTTTCCTCACAGTAAAAACTTCAGTGAAGAAGATTATGCCCCTGCATTGAGGAAAAAGCAGTCTGCATCCTGGGCCTTGAAATGGTACGCAATACTTTTTCTTGTCAGAGCTTATTGTTAGGTTGAATTAGGTTCCAGGTTGTATTTCTTAAAAGGAAATACATAGTGAACCAGTTTTTCCACCCCATGTCCTGTGATCTAACGAGGAGCAGGTTCCTGAAAGCAGCCCTGACTGCCAAGTGGGTACAGGATAGATCAAGTTTCGCCATTCAGTTCCAAAACACAGGTCAGGTTAAAGGGAGAACTTAGAATATTTATAACATGCCAGTGAGATGAGAGTGAGATTTGTGACAAGACCACATACAAAGTTTTCCATTTTAGAATTGGGGGTTGGAAGTCCTAATGCTGCTTGTCATGCCATTTAAGCCTCAAACTGGAGATTTAGCACATGCACTGCCTGTTTTTGAAAAGTTGTACAAGTGCTTAAGTATTCATTCCAAAAGTGAAAAACAGTGTAACGTAGTAGCTCCGTCTGCAGAAACGGTCTCCAGTGACTTAAGATTTTGGATTAAAGACAGTATATTGTGGAATAACGTCAAGATCGTGTTCATTTGAAATGCCATGATAACTAGGTCAAGTTTTATTACCTGTCTCTTATTTGGAACCATATTTTGTGAGCAATTGTCAGTATAAAATCTGCATAGAGTAACTGTGCCTAATATTTTCTAAATATTTTTCATCAGTGTGAAGGCGGGGGTTGATTATTTTAAGGTTGGACGCCATGTAGAAGCCATGAATGAGTACAACAAGGCTTTGGAAATTGATCCACAAAACGTTGAAGCTTTGGTAGCACGTGGAGCTCTGTGAGTCATCTTGTTTCATTGTTTTTTTTCTACTTTATGAAGGAGAAACATTATTAAAATCCATGCTACTTTCCTGTTGTCCTAGGTATGCAACAAAAGGAAGTCTGAACAAAGCCATAGGTGATTTTGAAATTGCTTTAGAAAACTGTCCTACCCATAGAAATGCAAGAAAATATCTCTGTCAGACGCTTGTGGAAAGAGGCGGACAGTAAGTGTTTGGGTTGTGTTTCTCTTTGGTTCTTCACAGGTTTTCTCACAGTATTTTTTAATACCATTCTAGTTAGGACACAGATGGCAACTTTCCTTCCTGACTGTGTTAAACAGCAAGAAGTTTTTGTTGGAAATATACCTACTTGTGCAGTTGGTTGACACTTTCTCCTCTGTCTCAGTTGAAATCCTGGCAAAAAAAGGCTTGCATAAAGTCTTGTGAAATGTTTGAATATATTCCAATAGATTGTTGGGTTTTTTAAAGAAAGCATTTGTAAGAATATGATGTTCTGAAATACTGGTCAACCACTGTAACACAAAATTTTATTTTTTGAATATTCAGGTAGTAGATTTCTTTTAAGCCCAATGTTAAGAAGAGAAAGGTGGTATTTTTGAAACTGGAATTGAAATTTCAAAGAATAGCAATTCCAATGATGATTAGAAGATAATAATGTCAGAAATGCCATTTTATTTCTTTACTGAGGTGGGCTAAGCTGGTAGGGTCTTGGAGGGGTGCAGTGGTAGTGTCATAGTGCAAATAACAAGGTAATTGCCAAAATAAGAAAAAATGTCAAAACCTGTTGCTTAACTGCATATGAATTATCACTTGAATTTAGGTTGGAAGAGGAAGACAAACTAGTAAATGCTGAGAATTACTATAAAAAAGCCTTAAGTTTGGATGAGACATTTCAGGAAGCACAAGAGGCCTTAACAAAGCTCCGTAAGCATATGCAGGTGATTCTTTACTTTCTCTTTGTATAATGTGCTCAGTGACAATACATGAACGTAAAAGATCATACTAAATCTTTTGAACAGGGAGAGTTCAAGTTGGTTTGTCTTATTCTCTGCTTCCCTTCTCCACAGTAAATCTTTTATAGTGAGCATTATGGCTGTACCTACCAGAAGAAAGGTACCTCTTGATGACTTCACTGTTTTGAAGAGGATAGTAAAGAAATGCCAAAAATTAGAGACAGG